GCCGCCCCGCCCTTGCCCCCGCCCCACCCAGCAGGCCATCACACAGATACCATCACCATACCTGGGAACTTTTCTCTTGGCTGTTCGTTTCCAGAAACGAGCTGTTCAGGAGCAGACACCAAGGGGATTGGCCGTTTGGCTGTTTCTTCATTCGCCACGAAGTGCTCATGTGTCACTATTTCTTCTACTGAGCTGCTACAACTGTCACTCTTTAAGTCAGCGCTTCTGTTCTCCAGACTTAATCTTTCACATAACAAGGAGCTGCGGTTAGCAGGTTTTTTGCTTTCTACTAAATAACTGCTACCCCTATTTGTATTGCTTTCTATCTCCAAGCAATGAGTTCTTCCATTCTCAGATACGCTGGATGTGACTGGCATTTTCTCACCCATCTGGATACATGTCGTCCCATCTGTTTTGTCAGACTTATTTAAGCACTGTATATCACTATTAGTTTGTACTACATAGCTGTCTGTCATATTACTGCTCTGTGCTGCCTGTCTGCATGAATGTAGGTCAGAAATTGAAAAGCTCTTTGTGGGCTGGGAAGATTTCTGCTGTGTACTGAAATCTTCAATGCTTGAGATGGCTGACATTTGGCGGCCCATGAAGATTGTTGCTGGATGATACAATCCTCTTGACATGGCTGTCCTGGTGTTAATTCCTGCCTGTCTTGCAACTGGCAGCATCTGAAAAATAGAGGTTGAGATGGCTTAAGAATGAATTTCATGCAGTAAATGGAGTTTCTTAAAGGTTTTGTGTTGGTCTTCGAAGAGCAAATGTTATACATCATTTCAATATTTTTCAATCGTATGATGCTAATCCACGTATAAACACGCTTTCTTTGTCCAATTGATTTTCTAAAACTAAAATAAGATTGAATGGCCAGACTCCTGCAAGATATTAAATGCTTTGTGCCAGGCACTAAACACCTTTCACTACCAGGGAAGCCAAAAGGAGATTAAGTCTGTCAGCACCTCACAGGAGGCAAACACCTTACAGGATCCAGACCAAAAGGTAGCCTCACCAAGAGAAATTTCGGTAAACAAATATAAAACCTACATTTAAAGAAATGAACGCCACTAATGATGCCATTAGGTTGGTTAGCAGCTGAACTACAAGAACTGGAAACAGCTTAACTGCTATCAAGAGTCTTCACTGCTTTTCACTTAATGTACAGTATTTTGCATGGAATGGTAATAAATTTTTGCCAAATGGCATATTAAACAAAGTTTATGTCAATTACAGCGGTTTAACATTCCAGGCAACCATTTCTTCTCTATAGTTTTGCACACAAAAAGCCCATAAATTGGAAGCCCAACTGCTCAATTTCATGTTTTAAAAAAGAGTGTTTATGGAAGCTGCTGGATTGATAGCCTAGAAACTAGCATCTGCTATCAAGAAAGCAAGTACTGTACATACAGCTGCAATAAAAAATTCTCTGTATTCCTATTCCAAAAATCAAAATAGGTAAAGGATTGAAAAAAAAGTCACTGTAACCAATATGGGAATATTCTGATAATATTTTTATGAACTATGTCTGTGACTCAGTAAACAGGCCTGTCTGGGTTCCAACCAGATATACTAATAAGCATTGGCTGCAATTATCACAAATGAATGGAAGAACCAATGACTCACTTGTTAAACCCTGTCAGGAGCCAAAAGCAAGTTATTTCCTCCAACACTCTGCAGGGAAGCAAAATGGAAAAGTCCTAAGCAGGAAAATAAACGGACACATTTTATGAAGAGGCTGTATTTTAAAGTGTGATGCTCCAGACACACAAAAATAGGTCTATGCTTAAAATGTATTCAGTTAGGGTGCATCTACTCTGCACCATTATGTTGAGATAACTAGGACTATTTCGAAATAATGTGAGTGTCTACACAGCCATTCTGTTATTTCAAAGTAATTTCAAAACAACGGATGACTTATTCCAAAAATCTGTAAACCTCATTCTACGAGGAATAATGCCTATTCTGAAATAGCTATTTCAAAATAATGCGTGTGTAAACACTCCATTGCTGCTATTTTGAAATAGCCTTTCACCAGGGCCATTCTAAGTTATTTCTCCCCCGTGCCTCCTGGGGCTCTAAATCGAGATAGCACGTCTACATTAGGGAAGCCTTCCTTGGACTAATTTTGAGGCTTCTCTGCAGTGTAGATGTGCTATTTCAAAATAAGCTATTTTGGTATAACTGTTCTGGAATACCTTATTCCGAAATAACTGTGCAGCGTAGACATAGCCACAGAACATTAACTAGCACTATAAACCGCCACATCATCCAGAGATTTACCATTGGGCCACCTTTTTCTGATCCTGAAAGATATTTTAACCAGAACAAATGGGAAGGATGCAGATTCCATGCCAATACCTATTGTCAAAACCCTATACCACACCTTGGATGTAAGTTTGAAAACTCCTGATACTCCTTCCCTTCTGTGACACTTCCATCCTTCCTTATTTTATTCTCTCTCATGCCTACCCCTCCTTGGGCTTCTATTCAACTTTTCAATTAGCTGAACTGCATAATATCACCACTAAGATCAGCACAACACACTAAAGCAGCATAAACAATCTCACACCTGTCTGACGGACCAAACCCAAGCGGAAGAAATGAGCTAGGTACAGATGTTAAAAGCACACCTTTCAATACTGACCTGACTATGTACTATATCTTGCTTGCAAAACAAGCATTAAGGAAACAGAAGTCTTTTTCTTTCATCACTGTCCTTTTCTCCCTCTTGTACATTTGTCTCAATAGCAGGAACAATGGTTGTGCCAAAAACCTACCAATGAATCAATTCTTTCTTCTTACCAAGGGTGACTTACTGGTAGCTGCAGGAGACGTTTGCCCTGAAGGACCTGGCTGAACTTAAAATGAAAGCAATTTCTAAAGCAAATGACAATTTCTAAATTTCAAGAACCTTTAAGTTTGTTTTGGATTTCTATGCATGCTGAGTAAATGTAACAGATTTCTATGGAATAGTTACTAGAAGTAGTAGAAGGCCCATATCAATATAAACAGACTTTTAACCAATATTAACCTATTAATGTTATAATAGCAAAGGAAGGATTCTAACAACATCTTAACAGCTTGGAGCACAACATTAGAATTCCCTAATGTCACTGTAGCAGCCTCCATCCTTTTTCATTGGGTGTCTATTTGTCACACAGGTTCAGCTACAATCTCCCTGTGAAAGGATCTTATATATATTTAGTCTGGTAATATGACAAAACTTCACAATACAGCTCAATTTTTTCTTTACACCAACGAAAGAAAAATCCAGTAACCCCATAAACTATGTTATTTGCACAAAGAATCAGTGTATGTTACTCAGATTGGGTTCTTCTCTGTTATCCTCTGGGTCTGATTTTCTGCTCTCAAATTTATCCAGAAAATGTTTTATGGATTTATAGCTCCTGGATTTAATGTTCCAATACTAAATGTATCGGCTCTGCATGTTACAGCAAAAGGTACCTTGCTAGCAAACCCCTTTTTGATTGTAAAAATCTTTCTTCATCTGCTTTGCATTACAGGACTTAGAATTTGAAAAATAAGGATTGGTGCCTGTGTAGTTTCACCATGCAGCAAAATAAAATGAAGGGAAAAAGAGATATTTCGCTTGGGAGAAAAGTAGGAAGAAGAGATTTAGCTAAAACTATAAAAAATTATAAAAATCAAACTATTGCCATCTTTTCTGTTTGCTTTACCTACGTCTTTTCTCCCATTCTCCACAACTCTTACACATACAAAATATGGCCCTTCTTACAGAACTTTTCTTTAACAAGAATAAAATGTTTACTTTCTTCATTCATCATCATTCAGCTATTTTGCAATGAGGACACAGTCTCACCTGAAATGTAAGGCTGACACCGTACTAAATGTGACATCTGAGATACATCCCAAGCCAAACTTCTCATCACTTGATAACTACTGATCAACATTAATTCCCTCTGAGCCACGCCTGGGAAGATGGCAGCATGAAACTCCATTGGTCAGCACTAAGTCTTACTATGTACCATGAACGCCCAGCAATCCAAGTCTCGTTGGGCCTAGTTTGATTCCCTGATGTCCTCTGATATGTGGCACTACAGTCACTTAGATCTGGAGAATCTGGAGTTATACTCAGCATCGAGTTTGTGCTCTGAAGGCTAAAAGCTTCCAAATTCTGTGTTCCATGTGTTAAGGAGTGCATGCTGCAGGCTGAGCTGCTAATCTCTGTATAAGAACATAATGGCCGTACTGGGTCAGACCAAAGGTCCTTCAAGCCCAGTATCCTGTCTACCGACAGTGGCAAGCACCAGGTGCCCCAGAGAGGGTGGACCAAAGACAATGATCAAGCGATTTGTCTCCTGCCATCCCTCTCCAGCCTCTGACAAACAGAGGCCAAGGACACCATTTTATCCCCTGGCAAATAGCCTTTTATGGACCTAACCTCTATGAAATTATCTAGCTTCTCTTTAAACTCTATTATAGTCCTAGCCTTCACAGCCTCCTCTGGCAAGGAGTTCCACAGGTTGACTACACGCTGTGTGAAGAAGAACTTTCTTTTATTAGTTTTAAACCTGCTACCCATTAATTTCATTTGGTGTCCTCTAGTTCTTCTATTATGAGAACTAATAAATAACTTTTCTTTATCAGCCCACTCCACACCACTCATGATTTTATAGACCTCTATCATATCCCCCCTCAGTCTCCTCTTTTCTAAACTGAAAAGTCCCAGTCTCTTTAGCCTCTCCTCATATGGGACCCGTTCCAAACCCCTAATCATTTTAGTTGCCCTTTTCTGAACCCTTTCCAAGGCCAAAATATCTTTTTTGAGGTGAGGAGACCACATCTGTACACAGTATTCAAGATGTGGGCGTACCATAGTTTTATACAGGGGCAGTAAGATATTCTGGGTCTTATTTTCTATCCCTTTCCTAATAATTCCTAGCATCCTATTTGCCTTTTTGACCGCCGCTGCACACCGTGTGGAAGTTTTCAGAGAACTGTCCACGATAACTCCAAGATCTCTTTCCTGATTTGTCGTAGCCAAATTAGCCCCCATCATACTGTACGTATAGTTGGGGTTATTTTTCCCGATGTGCATTACTTTACACTTATCCACATTAAATTTCATTTGCCATTTTGTTGCCCAATCACTCAGTTTGGTGAGATCTTCTTGGAGTCCCTCACAGTCTGCTTCTGTCTTGACTATCCTAAACAGTTTGGTATCATCTGCAAACTTTACTACCTCACTGCTTACCCCTTTCTCCAGATCATTTATGAATAAGTTGAAAAGGATTGGTCCCAGGACTGACCCTTGGGGTACACCACTAGTTACCCCTCTCCAATCTGAAAATTTACCATTTATTCCTACCCTTTGTTTCCTGTCTTTTAACCAGTTCTCAATCCAAGAAAGGACCTTCCCTCTTATCCCATGGCCATGTAATTTACACAAGAGCCTTTGGTGAGGGACCTTGTCAAAGGCTTTCTGAAAATCCAAGTATACTATATCTACTGGATCCCCCTTGTCCGCATGTTTGTTAACCCCTTCAAAGAACTCTAATAGATGACAGGTTACAAACCACAGGTAATAGCTCAGCAATTTCCCATTTGAGTTCTTTTAGAACCCTTGGATGAATGTCATCTGGACCCGGAGATGTGTTAACATTAAGTTTTTCTATTTGTTCCAAAACCTCCTCTAATGACACTTCAATCCGGGACAGTTCCTCAGATTCATCACCCACAAAGGACGGTGCAGATTCGGGAATCTCCCCAACGTCCTCAGCCGTGAAGACTGAAGCAAAGAAATCATTTAGTTTCTGCTTTATCGTCCTTGATTGCTCCTTTTGTAGCTTGATCATCTAGGGGACCCACAGGTTTTTTAGCAGGCTTCCTGCTTCTAATGTAGTTAAACATTTTGTTATTTCTTTTTGAGTTTTTGGCTAGCTGTTCCTCAAAATCTTTTTTTGCTTTTCTTATTACATTTTTACACTTGATTTGACAGTGATAGCTTGATCATCTAGGGGACCCACAGGTTTTTTAGCAGGTTTCCTCCTTTAATGTTCTTAATAACATTTTGTTATTTCTTTTTGAGTTTTTGGCTAGCTGTTCCTCAAAATCTTTTTTTGCTTTTCTTATTACATTTTTACACTTGATTTGACAGTGTTTATGTTCCTTTCTATTTATCTCACTAGGACTGGACTTCCACTTCTTAAAATATACCTTTTTTGGTCCCTCACTGCTTCCTTTACATGGCGGTTAAGCCACGGTGACACTGTTTTAGGTCTCTTGCTATGTTTTTTAATTTGGAGTATACATTTAAGTTGGGCCTCTACAAGTTCTGCAACAGCTAGGCACTGGCTCCCCATAATACCAAAACCAGGCCAAAGGTAGGAAGACTGCACTTGTAAACCACTTCTCTAGCAGATGAGAGGCAGCACTGACATATGATGTATTCGTTTTTTCCACAAATTAGGATGTTTCACTGCTGAGAAGTTTTTGCAAAGGTTCATGATATAATGCCATTGTCCTGAAAGACATGGAACTTCTGGGGTAAACAGCTTCCAAAGCATCAAAAGACAAAGATGTTTTGGGACTCAAAGAAACACAATGCCTTGCAGGTTGCAGAAAACCACCTAGAAGCTAGCTATGGGGTGTCTGAATACAGAATGTTAACGTCCAGACTCCTCCCCCGCTTTCAGAAACTGTAGGCTCATGACAGGAACCTTCTCATAGGCACATTACTGCACAGAAACATCTCGCTTTGACCTCCGCCCCATTATAGGAAGCCCCTTTTACAGGAAGAAAAGATAGGCAAATAAACACACCTACTCAGATACACTGCTCAACAGACACTCAATTTAGTTGAAAAAATGCCAACATATAACCTAGACCTACAACATGGTATCAGTTGGTTTCTTCAAACAACATTGCGAGATCTTCTCAGGGAAAAGCACTCCTAGAAAATCCAAGTCTGTGGCTTTTGAAGTCCAAGTATAGCAAGTCACCATTCACGTCTGCAATTACACTAACATCTAGTGCACTATAAGGTGGACAACTGCACAAATTTAGTCAACAACAAAGCCAATTCTCTCCAAAACAAATTCTGACTGTTTCTTCTATCCCCATATGAACATTAGACCATATTCTCTTGAACTTTCTACTTCCAAATGTGTTCTCTCAATAAGTTCCATTCACAAAGGATACACATCCTCTTTGCCTTCATGTCTTTCAATAGTACACTTAATAATTCTCATATATCATTTTTAAGCAAGTGATCTCTCCTACCCATGTTTCTCAGACTCAACATTAAAATAGGATGCTTATCTTCACCCAATGCTACAGTTCATTCAGATAAAAATAAATCATGTAAGAGCCACCTATACATCATTTAGGTAAAGGCAGACAATTAAAATGAGCTACGTTGTCATTATTTGCAACAACCAACTTTACAATTTTAGTAAGGTCTTGTAAAAGATGCGGCACTTTCACCTTGGCTTTTGTAAAGAAATCCTCTAATTTGACATAGGCTATGATTCTGTATTACTCAGCCAGGCAAAACTCTTCCTGAAGTCAGAGAAAGGAAACCCGCCCACAAAAAGAGAAACAGATTTTCTGCATGGCAAGTATAGCCAAGAGCAGCAGAAGAGCCGAAATCCAATTGCTTATCAACTTATCAGTGTGCAATGCAGCTGTCTGAGGACATTGCTTTGGCCTACACGTTGAAGAAGCTTCTGTTGCCTGCCTGCAAAATGTATGTGGGCAGTATGCCAGAGGCTCCAAATAATGGCAGAGTCCAGAGCCTGCCCCACCCACAATACAAAACCCGTGTACCACCCATCTGCCTGATAGGGAAACCTTCTGTGCCGACTCTCAGAGAGTGGCCTTCTCACAGTTTCATTGCAGTATGTTAGAGTGATACTGAAAGCATTTCATAAGCCCTAAGCACGAGAAAGAATATCACCTCCTTGCATATCTGAATTAAGCAGATTTAAAGCAAACTAAAGAATTGGGGGGAGGGGCCAAGGGCACGATAAGGCTAAAAAACGATGCTGAATTAAATATAGTTACAACATTCTTTAAAATGAAATGAGACGTGAATAAGTAGGAACATTCGTCAGGTTACTTTTGGCAAAAAGATCCATTAAAATAAGAATGTCAGCCACCCACAAAAAAGGCTATTTTGTTGTAAATTATAATAATGTGTCCATGTTACTCTCTCTCAGACAACCTAAAACCTCTTTCTCTGCATCACAGCCTCAGAACAATTTAAAGAGGCTATCTTTGTATTTAACAGCAAATAACCCTTCCCCCCCCCCCAATTTTAACTATAATTTTAATGCACTGTAAAATGACAATTTTAGGTTCCTATTAACCCTCCTAATACTAGCCAAAGTATTTCACTATTTTGAATGAAAAAAAAAAAGTTTTTTGGAACCACAGCAACACCAGTATTCTTGTATTTATGTAACAAGTACAGTAAAGCAAAAAACATTCTACAGATAGAAATGTGCAGCTTCTCATAAAATTATTTTCAAAACCAAATGTTAGTTTTAAAAAATAGAAAAATTCAGCATATCAGAACTCTTAATTCTATGATTTACATATATCTAAATTGAATATATGTAATTCATGCATTCTTAAAGGCCTGCTTATGTAGGTCAAGGTTGCTGGGGTCCATCGCTTTGTATATTACAGTTAAAAGAATGCTCTAAATTCACGTTTTTTAACTTTTTAATCTATGGGGGAAACTTCCCATAAACTCAGATTAATGGTGCTAATGCACTGAAGAAAGAAAAACGAAAACCTTCCTCCTCCTATAAAAACAAAATAGTGTGGCCTCTGTTTCTTTTCTGATAAGAGTCTTAAATACCAAACAGTTAACTGCATAATAACATTTACTGGCAGCCAGGCAGCCTGCTTAGCAGATATATACAGCAGGTAAAAGGAGAAAAAGTTAATTTCTTGGCTGAATGATTCCATCGGTAGCTATAGGGCAAACTAGAAAGTCTTTTAGTAAAGTAGCAGTTGATTCTTCTATCAATCTGCAGCACACATACTCTTCCAAGGAATGTATTAAATATGAAAATCATATCCCGTTATCATCTGTTTCCAGCTTTCAGCCCAGTAAGCTTTTCTTAATGAATGCTGTAGCCTAAGGGACAAGCACGCTGTTGGCTTTTCTGAATAATGGAGTGATGCTACCATTTTTGCTTATTACAATATCGACTAGCTGAGGGGGTTTCACACATAGTCACAAGTGACTACTCTTGCCAGCATGCTCCAAGTTATTACAAGATGTTTTTAGACATTTCATCTAAAAGAGCTTTACTGCTTTTAGTGAAGAAAACAGCTATGGTCTTGAACTGTATCATTTATACGAAGATAGGAGGAGGGATTAGAAGCCTGCATTACTGCAGATATATAGCAGAATATATTTAAGTATTCCTTGTCAGTCTTTGTGTCTGTTGCTTAGATATGCTTTTTTTTTTTTGCTTCTTTTGAGAAAAGGTCAAAATGTACACAATTATAAATATGACATAAATCAACTACTACATTTTGTGTACTTTCATTAAAAATATTTTTCAGATGTTAAAATTGTTGTCATACTATTTAATATTATAATATAAAAACAGTGGCTATATAGCAATGAACCAACATCGATCTTACTTCTTGGTTTATTATGGTTCTCTTTTTACCATGATGAACATATTAGTGTGATCCTTTCAATTAGTCTGCTTGATTTTGTTGTTAAAGCTCTGTTTCATAATATATATTATATGGAAAAAAATTCTACACTTAAGACATTTTGCATCCACCACCATTTACTGAATGAGTACACCTTACAGAAACACAACTAAGAGTTTTTCAAGTGGCAATGTATATATAGTTTTCCACTTATTTACTATTACCTGCTCTTCGCAATCTTCTTTGTCATCTTGTATTGGCACAATATTCTTCTGAAGCGACAGCATACTTTTAATTTCTCTTTCATGCTGTACCTACATATAAATAGATCCCTCATATAAATGATTTATGTATTATAAAAATAAAGTCATGCATACACACAGATCAATGAATACTTATACAGCACAATTTGTACAGTAATCAAAGAAATCAAGGGCATAAAAGTAATCAACTGGAACCTAATAAGATTCATTATTCACAAATATATCTTATCTGAGAAAAATAAAGATGTTTATAGCAGCTCATAGGAAAATATCCAAACCCCATTCCCTCCAAAATATGTTTTAATTTCTAGGAAAAACATGTTGTGTGGGGCTTGTGTATCCTTCTGTGGGTTTTCATCTATATGTCTTCACTTATTTCAGGATTCTAAAAGAGTAACAACTTGCGGATTCAAACATTCTTTCAAATATATACAATTTGTTTACAATTCCAGATTATTTTAGCTATATCTACATAATGATTTAGCTGCTTTGCAGTGAAATACCGAGCTTTATATTTTGGATTGATTTAAGTCAGTTTACACTCCACAGAGCTATTCTAAGGAAAAAATATATTGCAGATGTTATGAAGAGCAACAAAGCATGAAAAAAAAACCAACCCCCAACTTGTACTAGGGTTACTAACAAAGAACTACATAAAAAGTCTTCTCCTCCACTACATTGTTTAATCGACCAAAAGTAATGCAGTCATAGAACTATTGCTTAAAAGCTAAGCATATACAGCACCTATAATTAGTACTGTATGTTAGTAATTGTAAACCTTAAGAACAGATAATACTGGTTCTGAGTGGGAGCACTTCACTATGCATTTTGAATTGGGTAATATACAGGGAGAAATCCATCTGATAACTAATCAACTTGGACAGCTCTGTATTTTAATTCTCAGCCTGAATATATAAAGTCTTATTTTCAGACACATTTGTTCATAAAATTTGAAACAACAATTTAAAAAGGCTATATTCAGCCATGCATTTTACCTAGTGCTCAAAACTGATGAAATGTTTAACTACTCCAGTTTTTCCCAAAGCTTAAATAAATGATTTCTGGTAAGCTTCCAACAGTTACTGAACAAACTGCAGAAGCACATGGAAACAAGTTACGCTTTTTTTGGTAAAGAAAAGAAGTTGGCACCAAAAGCCATTTAATATTGTGTGCATGGAATTAAGCTAATTGGCCTCTAAGGACATTCTCTCTCTCTCTCTCTCGCTCTCCTCAAAAAAAGTTTTTAGAAATGAATAACTGAATTTGGGTCTGCACATCTATATGTCAGTTTGAATTATTACTATTTTCATAATTCTCTATTAAGCCATTTCATCCTGAAAATTGCCCCAAATGGAAAGTTGGACAGCAGAATCATTCCAACAGCATTGCATGAGGGCTTGATGAGCTGTGCTTTGTTCAACAAGCTGAGTAAAAATGGCAGCCATCCATTAAGAAAATGAAATGATGCTATAAGAACTTCAAATGCGAGTACTGAAGACATCACATACTGAACAGTATCTAGAGTGGGGGGGCTCACATCAACTCATTTACAACATTTCTCTACTTATCCTGGGCCTGTTTAAAAAAAAACACAACAACCCAATATCACAATGGGCATTGCATTTTGTTTATAGAGGTACATGTTGGACTGTAGGTCACCATGCTGAATAATATCAGAATAGTATCAGTCTCAGGGATATCTATAAACATAGGTACCAATTTCATCGGTCCCAGCCACAGGCCCAGAAGTTCTGTAGGCACAGCTGGCACAGTTTTACTCTGTAGATGAGGAACGCTGTAAGTCAGCCCATGCAAGACACTACCTACAGAATGCACAAGTGGGATTTGGGGCACGACTAACACATCTCAAGCTAAGTGGGGGAAAGGATGTTTTGTAGGTGGAGCTCACAGACTTCAAAACTTTATCATAAAAAAACCAAGAGGGCATCAAATGAAATGAAAGGCTGCACATTTAAAAGTGAGACAAAGAAATACGTGCGTACCCAAACTAAAATTGCCACATGAAACTTCCCCCCCGCGACATATCACTGATGCTTGGAGCTTACAAAGATTCAAAAAAAGAACTGGGCCCACAAATCGATAACAAGACTATCTACAGTTATGGCCGTACACACTTTTAAATGCTTTCGAAGGATACAAAGCCTCATGTTTTAGAGCATATGCCAACATCAAACCCTACAGAAGGGCTCACCTTAGTCTAAAGCAGCTGATATTGGCCATTGTTAGAGACAAAATCATGGACTAGATGAGTGGTTCCCAAACTTTTCGGCATCGTGCCCTTTTTGATTTTTGAAAAACCCTCACGTGCCCCCACCAACAGCAAAACTAGTTGAAACAAAAAAAAACCCCACCCCCACGAACTGACTAGGGCAGCAAAACTTGATGGGAGAGGCAGGGCTGGGTTGCCTCGCACCCCCCAGGGGGACATACACCCAGTTTGGGAACCCATGGACTAGACGGGGCACTGGTCTGATCCAGCATGGAAATGCCTATGTTCTTACTTAGGGCCACATTAATACAGCATCCCACACTGTGTTTTAATGTATTTACATTTTTCTGGTTTTAAAATAGTGAGTCCCTTAGTAAACAGAAGTCTGTGGCTGGCATGGAAGCCTGTTTACCATCACCATATTCAAGAAAAGCTGAAATAGCTGCCAGACCTACTCTGCTGGAGGAGGTTTAATCCCAACTCTTGCCAGGGGGGCACATCAAGCACTTGTATAGGGAACATAAAATAATCCAGAAAGGCCTTTCCTCACAGGTATTTATTTTACACAGTTATTTGCTCTTCTGGCACAATCCTTCTGTACGGTCAAATTGACTTGAGACAGCTGTTCAAAATCACCTTGATTTCCATGGACAAGTTTAAGAAAACTAAATGAACTGTGGGACTCATATGGTACCTCCTGATGAAGGACTTGGGAAGAGAGCCAGATTACAGTATTATGTTTTCTAACATTTGCATTGTGCATAATTTCTTCCTTTCTCCCTTTCTTGCCTCCTCTCCTATTCTCATTTATCATTTCACACTTTTTCCTTTCTATTTTCTTCTGTTTATGTTCACACACTCTCTTTGTTCCTCAGGGAGGCTTACCTAATTTCTCTCTTCCCAACACGTACGGGTTTCTCAGCTATGTTTTTTCCTACCACTATCCAGTTTCACTCCCTTCCTAGATCTCAGTCTATCCAGACTCTTTCCTTAGGACTTCTACAGGAGCTGCTGACTCAGCACAAAAAAAAAAAAAAAAAAAATCGGGATACTTAGGTTCTGAAATACAGATACTGTACACATTCTTAAATTAAAAAAAAAACACTTTGGCCTTTGCAACCAATATCATCTGAGATATTCTTGGATCAGACTGTGTACATTCCTGAACACTAGAGAAATCATTACATTTGAAAATTTTGCTCTTCTGTTTGCTGTCAGAAAGCTACATTTTGAAAAGGTAGAGTAATTGCAGCTTAGTAGGATGAGATTAAAACGTAATCACTGTGTCAATATTAGGCGACTAGGCCTGTTCAAAATGTTTCCATCTAAACTGTTTTTCAAACACAAAACTGAGTATTTGATTAACAAAACTTTTCACAGAAAGTTTCTACTTTCCACAGACAAGCTTTTCTTTTATTTAAAACAAAAAACAAAACAAAAACCACACAACCAAAAACATTCCATTTTTTCCCCACAAAAAGTCAAAGTTTTTCCATTAAAAAAAAATTGACCAGACTAGTAATTATGATGAAGATGTATTAGTACAGCCTTGGCTGGTGTCACATAAGCATTGCTTAATAAATCAACTACAATCAAAGTATTATTTTTTAACCAAAGATCGTTATTAGACTGTAACTTTTCTAAATTGCTCATTAGTGGGTATTAAGACCATGTGTAAGAAACTTTACATATTAAACAACATATTTCAAGTGCAAGGATTGTTAAATCCATTGGCTCATTTAGTGTAGACAGGAAAGTGCTTCAGTTACAAAATTACTGTTTTTTAAAAACAGAACACCCTCCATTATATATACATAGATAAAACGTTATCTGTCTGCACATGAGCTATGTTGTTTGACAGCTCTGATCTATTTTATTACAAATATTTAAATTAAAAAGTAAACAAATATTCATTCAGCAGTTACTGCTTCTTTCCAGCTGGGCACAAGATGAATTATCATTACTTTTACTAAAATAACAATGAACTCTTAATCATTCAATCTAGAGTGAATATTAAAAAAAAAAAAAAGCACAATTACAATAAAAAATTGGGGAAAAGGACCACCAAAACTACCCAAATCACCTGGACTACATAGGAAAAAGTAAAAATCAACTTGACTTTGTGAATGGAGGAGATTTGGGATTAGGGCAGTCAGATGGGTTCATTACATTTTTATTTAAATGTAGAAAAGATTACGGAGATTCTGGAGCTTACGTACAACTGATCCTTCTTTCTCAAAATACTCAGAGTAAGTATGAAGCGTTATTCTTGTTCTTAACGAACATAAATTTTCTTCCTTACCATAAAAACTTTAGAGTCAGAGGGGTTGTGTGTCCATTACTTCCATATCACCTTGGGACACAGCTACTACATCATGCAAGACAGCAACCCACATTTCCGATAGTTATCATATCTGCCTTTCCAACATTAACAGCAAGATCCCATTCCTATGGTAGCAAACAAAATCGATCTTTCTAATGATAGACAGAGACTAGGAAGCAACACATTAATGAGAGTAGGTTATACCATGTCACTGGCCAGTATAAGGAGGAAGAAAAAACTATTTTGTTTTGTACATTACATATAAAATGCCTTTTTTTTATTTAAATTAAAAAATGAAACAGGCTTAAGTGCTTATTTCACAATCTCCTTCATACTAAGAAAACGTCTCTCTTCATAAAACTGAGATAATTTGATTATATTCAATGAGATCGGCAATGAGGTTATTTTGTATAACTAGGGCTTCCATCATAGCTGATAAGGGGTGTGACTGGGGAGAGAGAGGGAGCTATCAGATTTCTTTTGGAGTCTGCATCAAAGCAACCAGCACAGATGAGCCTAAAAGTATAAATTCTACTAGTTTCTGGTCCCATTTAATCAGCTCATTTGGTGCTAAAATATTCCTAGCAGTTCACTTTCTGTCTTTATCCAAAGTACATGACATAAAACATCCCATGGGGCTATTCCACTAAATTTATCACTGCTAAAGCAAAGTTGATAGTTCTTCTCAATTTTGGAAAACGTATAGTTCCCCTAAATCTCCAGTTGCCAACTTTCCCAACCGGCTGTACTCAATGTCATTCATGGCAATGGTGTTTGGGTCCGTCCAGTCCAGCAGCATTGGCAATTCTATCTGAATCAGATTTCTCTGTTGGTGCACCTGCCATCAAAACATTAGCACGGAACTGGCTTTTAATTAAAAAAATTATGGCTTTATAACCAAGAGAAACGAAGCGTGCAAATAAACTGTAGAGCTAATCTGAGGTCACAAGTAATCCTGTTGCTGAATAATTAACTGATAAATCAGCAGCAGTTAAAAAAAAGGCTGGAAAAGGCTGAACTACCTCTAACGTAACCCTCATCGGTGGTCAAAGGCAGGTCTACACTATTGCCTTATATCGGTACAACTACATTACTCACGGCTGTGAAAAATGCACCCTCCTGAACAACGGAGTTATACCAACCTAACCCCCTGTGTAGACAGTGCTACGTTGATAAGAGCTTCTCCCCTCAACAAAGCTACCCTTTCTCAGGGAGGTAGATGAACTACACCAATGCTACTGCGGTGCAGCTACACTGCTGTACATGAAGACAAGCCCTTAGAACTCTTCAGATGGCATTAGCAGAGGGAATACAGAGGAGGAAGAGGGAAAGCGATGAGCATTCCAAGATCACCTTCCAGGTGGCTTCATTACATCTTTTTAATTTTGCTAAGTCATTTGTAACCAAACATTGTTATATGTTGACAAAAACTACTGAGTTGAAAAAACTACTGAAAACAATAAACTCTTAAAGAAATCATTAGGAAAATTCCGCATAACCCTCCTAGAGTCCTGATTTAACTAATCATGGAACACCAGTGTCTACTTGGTTAATTGTTCTCATGCCAACAATTAACCATAATATTACTCAAAACACAGGGTGCCATCCTACAAGGTGCTTAGCAGCCTCAATTCCCCTTTGCTTCCAAGGGATTTGAGAGCACTTGGCATCTCACAAGCGACACTCGGCTCTTCACAGAGCTAAACCCACCAGCATTACTAATGACCCATTTGTCTCCAACGTCACGTTAGCTCATTTCAGTTTTCCCTATTCCCAAAGAGACAAATATCAAGCATTGCAAACACATGTTACTAGGATTCAACAGACATCTGAAATCTTGATGTGCATAACATCTTGCCAAAGTCAACCTAGTTTCCCCTACATTATTACAGCTGTTGGATTATGGTATTTAAACAAGTATTACCTTCAATGTCTGAAGTGCCTCTGAACTTGTAAAAGTCCTAATTCGAGCTTCAATGCAATCAAACTCCTTTAAAAATTCTTGGTTTCGCAACACAGCATTTTTTTGTCGTTCACATATTTCTTTCATGTATTTTTTGAGTTTTACAAAGTTCCTTTTTGCTCTATAGAGGGAAAATAACCCTTTTTATTATGCAAAATGAAACCAGACTTGTAACAATTTGCATCAGTTTATTAATAGGAGAAAGATTTAAGACAGTGTTACAGTATTCAATATTATTCTTTTTCCCTAAAAGACTAATTATAGATATGAACAATTTATTTAAAGCTATATTATAAACAACAAGATAAGAATGGTCATACTGGGTCAAACCAAAGTCCAGCTAGCCCACTATCCTGTCTGTTGACAGTGGCCAATACCAGATGTCCAAGAGGCAACAAAGAGAACAGTTAATCAACAAGCAATCCATCCTTTGCCTCCCTCTCCCAGTCTCTGGCAAACTGAGGCCTGGGACAGCATCCCTGCCTATCTTGGCTAATAGCCAATGATGGACACATCTTCCATGAATTTATCTAGTTCTTTTTTTTATTTGGCTTTCACAACATCCTCTAGCAAAGAGTTCCACAGGTTGACTCTGCATTGTGTGAATACTTTCTTGTATTTGCTCGCTACACCTAAATAACTTAGATTTAAATTTGATTGTAAAATATCTGAAAAGGTGAGGGAAAATATATATACAGGTTGAACCTCTCTAATCTGGCAACATCCGTGGGCTAGCATGATTTTGGTTAACCAAATGTCCACTTATGGGTGAGGCCAAGTTTCAAATGGTCCCATAAAGTTTGTTTACAGCTCCCCATCCTGGCTCTGTGTTCTCTGCTGTTATTTACCTCTAATTTACAGAGGTAAATATTGATGTTCTGTGATTCGGCAAATTGTCTGGTTTGGCACTGGTCAGGTCCCAAGGGTGCAGAACTAGAGAAGTTCAACCTGTACTGAGTTATTCACTCCTTCTGTCTGTCCCTCTCTCTCTCTTTTTAATCAGCCTGTGGTTTCTCTTAGAACACTGGCAGTTTGGCAGACTTAATTTTGCTGTCTATATGACAATTGTTCAACAATGGCTTAAATCTCATCAACAAAAAAAAAAGGCAGAGTCAACAAACGTAAGAGAACTGGGTCAAAACACCCTTGGCCCTCAGTGCTTCCATCTCTAGGTATGTCTCTTGTTCTCAGAAAGTCATAAATCTCTTGATAGAGTTACTCCCTTGAAGCCTCAAACTCTTCTACCTTTTCTTCCTCTCTCTTAATACTTCAGCTTGCTCACATTAGCTACCATTGCTGAGGGTATGTCTCCCCATAACTGACATTTTTCACAGCTGACTCAGGGCAGGACTGGTTTTACAGTCTCTACAGCACCTTTTAGTTTACAGTGCTGGCAGTATATACTGTAGAAAGAATATTCTCTTGTTGATGTCTATGGGTTAATTATATTTACTTTAATAGGATTTATTCACACACATATCATGGAAATAATCAGAATTTTGGAAAAACTGAACATTGGGACAGTTTTGTATGTTTTTATGGGACATGTAAAATATCATCCTTTCTTTCAGTTATCATAAAAGGCTGCACTTTATGTCCAGAATGGTAAACTTCTTTGATAATGGTCTAAAGCTTCCTCATATGAATTACATAGCCACGGTCTTGCAGAAAGAAAGTCTAACAAAGTCATGCACTAACAACAAAGTTTCAGCAATAATACAGCATAAGGAAATAGTTCCATTTCTTTAGACACTCACAGCATTTTTCATTGTTACAGGCAGTCCCCGGGTTACGTACAAGATAGGGACTGTAGGTTTGTTCTTAAGTTGAATTTGTATGTAAGTCGGAACTGGTACATATTGTAGGGGAAACTCTAGCCAAACATTTCTCCAGAGCTCAGTTTTATTCTCCCACACCTCACTTCCCTCAGCCCTTTATTCTCAAGCTGAAGTGTCTGCTGAGAAAAGC